ACCAGATGTCCTTTGTTACTTCTCGCTCCAAGCTATCGTCGTTTTCCCAAGAGACCACCCGAACCTGCGGCGCACCATGAAAAAGGAGTCTGGCAATGGCCAAAATCGCGCGCCAAGCGCCAGCGCGAGGTCATCAGAGCTTATTGGCTTATTGTTATGGCTACACAATGGACAATTGCTATATTTTCATCAAAAAGATACACATAGGCACGATAAATGACAGCAAACACTACTCCACATATTCACCTTCAAGCATCACACACCGTTCCAGCCTCGGCTTGACCACTCCTGGAACGGCGCCGCCAGAAGACAGATTGGCGCTTTCTTTCTCAAACCGATGAAACCACCGGCATACCGTCTGTGGGGAGGCTGCGTCGCTACATACACTTAAAAAAGAAGTTTTCTGAATTCTGATCTTGGTAGACCTTTTCCCTACGACAAACTGAGCTCTAATGACCTTGCACTCTGCGCTGGCGCGCGGTTTTGGCCATTTGCATTGCTTGCCAGGTGGTGCGCCACAGGTTCGGGTGGTCTCTTGGGAAAACGACGATAGCTTATAGCAAAAAGTAGCTTAGGACATGTGGTTTTCACCATTGGATAGAAAAAACATCGGCGCATGAAATGACACCCAAAAAATGTGTGCACGTGCAAAAACGTTTAATTGCTTAAGGCACTTCCATTACTTAATAGTCAACCCTAGTATTTCTGGGTCTTCTGGGTTTATTTAAGATTTTGATTCCAACCGCATGCTTTTTGTAAACGTATTGTAGCTTATACTAGTAATTTCTCTGTACAACAGCGTCCTTTATAGACGAAATATTTTGTTCTATGCGTGCAGAGACTCCAAATTCGTATACTAAACACAGCACAACAGACAACTTGCTGAGTGTTTTTCATTCCATCTCCCTATCAATCTTCTGATCGCGCGCGCGTGTTGTGATGTTTATTGTCTAAAAAAGGGGACACGGTTGTCGCTGGTCTTCTGTAACGCTACCTTCCTAACACGAGGTCAGCGGGACCGCCAGACAGGGTGGCCGCCGCGAACACCACGCATTCCACGGCGCTCATATACAGAACTGGAAACAAGGTAGTTGCACCTGCAGGATCCAGTTGGCCGCCGCGCTGTTTACGGAGGAATGTTCGCGGCCGAAAACATTTCCGGCCTTTGTTTGGAGGATATTGGGATAAGCATGAGCCGCCAGACATGGCTCTGTGAAACGCTAATTTAAACGTTAGGTAGCAAAAAGTGTGCACTTATACTTATACACACATAAACACGCGAACATACAGGTATCTGGTGCTAGCCTAATTAGCTCACGTTGGGAGTTCATTCTGTAGTCATACGTTTTTATAGTTATCACCAACATGTGACTATAAAGTAGAGCGACGAGCGGAAATGATTTTGATAATGAGTAATGACGTCAGTGCAAATCACTCCAAATAAATACAGTGCCTTTAACCCTCGTCTTAAAATTTTAACGCAGTCACATTTCGCTGCAGGGCTGCATGAAGACGCCTTTCTTTGTTGATATTTGCTAATGACTTGAGCACGACATATTTTTTTTTGTCATTTCTAATTCCAAATTTATTACCAAGGAATATTACTCATTTGCTATCAAGCATTGATTTCCACTTTGTTTTCTCCTTTCCTCTCTTTTCGCACTAATGTTATGCTACCTTCGCTTCCGTATACCCATACCCGACCTTTCCCTCTCGTTCCACGTTGGGGTACCTTCCTAGTCCCTATCACCAGACCTCCCGACGCTCGCTTCTCTGACGTCTGACGCCGATGACGTCTCCCCCTCTCTGCCCCCTCTGCCAGGCGCTTTGTCACACCAGCGGTGGCTGATGGCTCGACGGGGCCGACATCACATTTCTTCAGATAAATTATCTTGTAATTTGGATTTATTGGCGAGTGAGCCGTTCCCTGTGACCGTCTGCGAGTCCCAGAAGCTCCGAGCGACCGGGCCCGGGTCGGACTCGGAGACAGAACATCACTCTGTCATCGACAGGGAGGTCAATAGGCGATATAGGCCACCGGCATGTGGCCAGACTCGGTCAAATATCCAGTATTCAGCAATCAGCAATCAGCATGCATCCTGTTGGCAATTTAGCGGTGTGGTTTCGTACTTGTAACTGCTATTTGGATAGTTAATTTCATACGAATTAGGCACTGTCGTTTATCTTATTTTGAATTATTATCGTCATTCCTATCGAACGATAACTGGTTGGTTGTTGATATGCAATAGCAGTGTAGCTGTGTTACCTAAGTAGTCTGCTGCTGTCTTACCAGTCTTGGTCATCCAATGGATAATTTGTCAGCGAACTGTGTTCAATTTCTTTCACTTTATAAATCAGATTATCTTTTACGTCTTTTGACAATTGCTTCAGTTGTGTGGTAAACAACATTGCAAAACAGCAGGCGTCCACGAAAACGTATCTTACCTGAGTACTTGATGATAAGATAACACAGCTTTTGTTCAAGCTACATATCTCAAATATTAATAACGCATCTAACCAGTAACCATCGTTATACCAGCAGTACTCTCCCGCCCTGTTGTCAAACACAAAACTACAACAACCCGCCTGCTGGGAGCCGACTCCCATCTCCGCGCAGAGTCCGTGGCCAGGCCGGGTGTGTGGGCGGACCTACCCCGCTACTATTGTGGCGCGGGGGCGACCCGATCGGTGTTCATGGCCCCGAGCACCCGGTGACCCCTGGTGACCTGCGTGCCCTGGGACGACGGTCGATCGGGGGCCTCACGAGTCAGCTGACGCCCCTCTCGGCTCCAGGCGCCGAGTCACAGGCCCATCGGGAGAGCAACAAATTGTTGACGCCATCTCTTCCTTTGGAGTCGAGCGGCGCTCTTCGCCTGGGTCCGGGGCTCGCATCGGTCCCGACAGACAGACAGACAGACAGACAGACAGACAGACAGACAGACAGACAGACAGACAGACAGACAGACCGACACACCGACAGACAGACATACAGACAGACAGGCAGACGGAGCCGGCAGGCCTGCAGCCGGGTCTGAGGCCGGGTCGCTAGGCCTGCTCGAGGCGACAGCAGACGTCAGCTCGGCAGCGTAGACAGAGCGACAGCTCCGCGTCACGTCGCCGAATACAATCAGTGTGCTCGGCGGGGACTGCAACGGCGCTCACCGCGGTCTGTGTAAATGTTAGGGCTCGCCAGTTAACGTGGTGTAATATTTGATGGCATGTGCGTTGGTTAGCATTTTTGCTGTGATGAAATAATTATCAATGCCTGTTACTTGTACCTACATATGAAAAGATCAGCAGCAGGAAAGAGAGGCATCATACTCTGAACAATTATTCACTCATTCCTCAAGTTTTTTTTTGGGGGGGGGGGGCTGATTCGCTAGACAGTGAATATCTGCTCTATTTTACGAAGCACTCAGCCACAACATCGAGAGGTTTGACACACTGCAAATACAATAAATTAGCATGGATACAGGTAGTAGCTAAGCTGGTGGCGTGTTTCTCTTTTCCTGGCATGTCTATATAAAAACTCGGCTTGCTTCCTAGAGCTCAGATGATGTTCCAGCCGGCTAAAGACTGGCATCATTTAATGTAACTATGCACCTGTGCAACGTGAAAGCTGTTACCAAATGATGAAAAATGTTTTTTTAATCTTTTTTTGTAATGTAACTTGATTATTCTGGAGTCAGGTGGGTTTTATTTGTTTCCTTGGTAACAGGAAAATTGAATTATAAACTTATTTGTTCTAACTATCGAAGTTCGCTCGTTCACTGAAAGCAAGCATCTAACTATCCGGCTGGCGAAACCTGATGAAGTTACCAATGAAAAGACCCCTTTTGGGTAAAGAAACTAAATTGTCGGTGTGTTCTATTAGCCATAATAATCACCCCTGTTGAAGGTATAAAGTTTTATGCCCCCATATTCTTCCCCACACGGTATGAGAACTAACAAAACAAAAAGTGATGCCCCTCGGATCATACTTTTCTGCTGCTTTTTAAAACGCAGACGGTTTAGAAAGGTTTATTGAAGTTTTTTTTCTGCCAATGGTCTTTTCCAATTATAACCTCATCATTCAACCTTTTAGAACAGATACATGAACAAAACTGAACATCAAAGACTTTCTTTGTTTTGGATAGCTCGTTTCATTTTACAAAATTTTGAGCGTTTCCTTATAGTTATTTCAAAGGGTTTAAAGTTTTCCTTTAATTTTGTTTCGCTAGCTCGCACGTCATGATTCAGTTGATATTTTTAAGTATATGTAGGGACTTTTTGAGCCTTCATCCCTGGAACAAGTGAAAATTTGATTGCTTCACTGAGAATGTTCGGTTTAACTTGCCGATAAAAGTGCACCAACAGGAATTATTGGCTAACAAAGAACATTGTGGCGTTCAAAATTATTCGAATTCCATAGCACTATTTTTTTAATTTCGAATCTTGTTACGACAGAGCAATCCTAGAATTGTTTGGGTTTTGTTACATAATAAACTTACTGTCTTGGAAAGTTCTAAATAATCAAAGACAACACCTAAGCCGTTGATTGCTTTGGTGTAAATGCTTCTGATTAGGTATGCCTCGAAAAAAATGACTAATGCACAGATCACGGAATCAGACAACAGCTTATGAGATGCGCTAGTGATAATAAGGATAAACGCCTGAATCAGCAAATACACTATACATAGATTTCGTCGCTATCTTCATGTAACATTACACTTCGCGTTTGCAACAGCTAATTGCTTACCTGTGCTACTCACCACTCTTTGAACATACCGCGCTCGATCTGCCGCGGCGCTGTTTGAAACCACGTGACAGCCACATGTCTCGGTCCTCAACCCTCGCTGGCCCGCCACCTGAGCACCCCTCTAATCCGGACTGGAATCCTCATTGAGTGCGCGGGCCCAGCTGCGACCTTCCCCTCTGTGAGCCGGTGATTCTATTGGCTGTTCTGGCCGAGCTATTGTGACCGTCCTGCGGCGCGGCGGGCAGTGTGTGCCGGTCGGCGGGGCGGGCGGCCGCGCGCGCGCACCGCTGCCGACCAGGCCGGCCTATATAACGAGCGCGGCTGCCGGCGACGGCGACGTCCACAATCGCATCGGCCGGCTGGCAACGTCATGACTCCGGCGGTTCTGCTCACCCTGACTGTGCTGCCGCTCACAGGTCAGTGCCGGGTCACCGGGGGTCAGTGACGGGTCAACATGGGGTCAGTGATGGGTCATCAAGGGTCAGTGACGGGTCAATATGGGTCAGTGACGGGTCAATATGGGTCAGTGACGGGTCATCATGGGCCAGTGATGGGTCATCAAGGGTCAGTGACGGGTTACCGGGGGTCAGTGTCGGTCACCAGTTAAGTGCTTGCTAGCGCAGGTGAAAAGTAACCGACCACTTCGATTGCGAAATGTCAAAGAATGGAGGTAGAGACGGCATAACGGCATATCGAATTGATCAGTCAATTAAAGCAGGAGAAAGGTCAGCGTTGACTTTCGGGAGCAGGATAATTCACTGTGATAAAAAGAGCAACTTCTCGCATTAATCGCGGAAACTGTTTCCTATTCCGACAATCCTGATAAGTGATATGGATAGGTATCAAAGCGAGTAAAGAAGTTCGGAATCTATCGCAATCTTTCACACAGGGTCCAGCAGTTTACTTTTATCAGCTTAAGTTTATTGGCGTACTTACTTGTCAAATTAGATAAAAGAACTCAGTGTCGTCAATTGAAATTGGTAGTTTCATTAAGAATTAGTTATCGAAAGTAATAGAAAGCGAGAAGCTATTGTACGTGAGTGTATCTGCATAGCTTGCACATTAGCAGGTCGAAGGATCATTAGTGAATGATAAGTGACCGAGACATTCCGCAGGCTCTTGAGTCGTTATTCCGTGGATTAAGGATTTTGCAGGGTGCCGGTTTTTATCTCATAAGTCCTCCAGCTATGCCACCGGAAGTGATAAAGCTGGCATCTTCGTTTTTCAGTGGTTTCAAGGCACGGTTCAATGAATGCAGAGTACGCCAATGTGGGACATCCAACTCTCCTTCGCTCTTAGAGCCCTGTTTGACTCAGTTAGTAGGTTACAGAGTGACTTGACATTGGACGGGGCACAATGATGTGTACATGGCTTACAAGATACAGCATACTTATCCAGTACCCAGTCACGCAGCTTTTGCAGTCCTCTTCTTTTCAAAATGTGAAACGATATTTAAGTTTGGTTTGTAATTTGCATTGTTTTGTAACTAAGTACGCTTTGTATTCAAAACAATTTTAAGATAAAATTTTCGCATCATCAATGCTTACAGAAAAAAATGATATTATTCACACATTTTTTGTTTCCAAATAATAGTTTTGTCAAACATTATTTTAGGTATAGCTTATAAGGGACATCAGCATTTCCATAGATAATAGCCACTTATTCTTGCTACAGTTGCCAATAAATTACAGTGAGCCATGTGTTGCGTTACAGCAACAACTACAGTGCAATGTTTTCCCAATAATGTTAAAATTCGAATTCAGCATATGGTGCATCGTAAACACCACAACTGTTTTATTGTCCTCTCATCGTTTCGCATAATTATAACTTCTTTGATGCACTAGATTAGTCGGCCCTGGTAACGACTTGACTTGACACGTCATGTTCTTATCTCGCGAGTTCGTGACCTTGTGACTACTAGAGAGCAGACCCCCGACCCCTTTTCTGCAGACCTCACGTGACCGAATGACCCCCAAGGGAGGCGCCCCTCCCCCTCCCCACCCCGAGCAATCGATTCGACCCATTGGCGACTGGGTGCCTTCTGACGACCAATCGCTACATCTCTCCGGTGGGGAGCTGGTGGGGTCGACTCGGTCGGTCCTAAAGGGATCGGGGAGCTCCCAGCGCCCGAAACATGAACAAATGGTTCCCGTTCTCCTAGCCTGTCAGGCATACTAATCAATCATGCTTTCCGTATAGTTCACAACCGGTCACCGGGTTCAAGTGAAACGCGGTACGGCGATTGGGTATTGTGTCGTTCTTGTGAGTTGTGACCCACTCGCTCGGTTACGTTATTTATTTTTGAAGAGTACCCTCGATGCCTATCTCGATCTATCCCAAGCTGAGCACGTGTCGCGGGCACGGGCGGGGCACGGCGTTCCGCACCTGTTTTCACGCCCTATTACGGCCATATCAAGCCCGTTATCATCACGCCCCCATTGATTAATGGTGGTGCAGGATCTCATCAGAGCCACGCCCACGAGCACGGCTGGTCGGGCCGCCGCCGCCGTAGCAGCCGCTCCTCGCGGCACGGGCACGGTGCGCACCCTCCTCCCTCCGCGCCGTCCGCTCCCCTGCTCTGTCTCTGTCTCTGTCTCTTTCTCTCTCTCTCTCTCTCTCTCTCTCTCTCTCTCTCTCTCTCTCTCTCTCTCTCTCTCTCTCTCTCTCTCTCTCTCTCTCTCTCTCTCTCTCCTCATCTTTCTCTCTCCCCTCTCCTTCTCTCTCACTCACTCACTCACTCACTCACTCACTCACTCACTCACTCACTCACTCACTCACTCACTCACTCACTCACTCACTCACTCACTCACTCACTCACTCACTCACTCACTCACTCACTCTTCCCTCATCTCTTTCTCTTCTCTCTCCCTCCTCTCTCCCCTTTTTCCTCTCTCCCCCTCTCTCCGATCTCCCTTTCTCCACACCCTGTCATCCAAGTCACTTTGCCCTGCCACTTTCCGATTTCCTATACCGGATGAGTGCTACGTGCCTTTCCTACAATTCAGGTCAAGGGCGGCCTAATTTCCCCTAGTCCTTAGTCACCCATATCTGGGACGAAGTTCGGCTTTTATTATAGGGTAGGACGACACGTCCAGCCCCAAATCTCGACGCTACACTATCATGAATTCGGCGCGGCAGGCCGGTGTTGAATTAGACCGTCGAGATCTCTGCGTCGGTTGTTGCTTGTTTTCTTACCCTAGTATCGGGCAACAGTCGTCTGTGAAGACTCATGGCGCAAACGCAATCTATTTGCGCTCAACGAGAGGCGGCGCTCGCGGGGCGGCGACGCGCTCGCGGCCCGATATAGCCCCAGGACAGGTCGCTCGACAGGCCCGAGACCCATGTGTCTGTCGCCACTTCCGTGTGCAGGGAGACTGGCGTGCTGCGAACCGCATCGAGCTACCTACAGAGCAGCGAATAGGCGGTAAATAGACCGAGGCAAGGGCCTTTGACCTGAGAAGAAAACAGCTCCACCGTTCAACTGGATCTTTTTTCTGATCTATATGCACGCACAGACATGGACGTGGAGGTCCAGTGCTGATTGTCATAACATTGTGTTTTCTAAATATTGTTGAAGCTTCTGATGTCGTCTGGTCGGCTGGATCAGGTTTTCATTTCTTACGAAAGCACTTGATCGTCCTAAGAATTATTTATTCAAATGTAAAAACCACTGCGCTGCTAAATCATTCTTTTGATAAACGATCCCATAACCAGTTTCCGCTTTTAACTAAAAAGGACTAATTAGTTGACATATTTGTGCTACTTCTTGATTTTATCTGGGTGGCTGTTTGAGTTATGAGACTCAGACATGCATTCTCCTGGCATTATGCTCGACAGCCAGTTTCGTTTCGCCCCCGCACATTGCAGTGTTCCACCCACGCCAAGTGCATCGTCATGAAGGCTAAATCGCTGCTCGTCTAGACGTCTTAACAACGAATCAATGAAGCCATTTTATTCTGAATGGACCGCCGGATGCCTGTCGAACAAGTCTCAAGTCTGTTTGCTTTATGCGCAGTCAAAGGCAGTGATTCCCTTTGGCTGAAAAATTCCGCAAAGAGCTTTTGACTACGGCTCAGCCGGAGTCGGCCTCGGACAACTTTGAAACCGGCGGCTCCTGAGTGGCCTGGGGCGATGAACAGTGCTGGGCGGGTTTCGGTACCCACCCGTGAGATGTCGGCACCGGTCATTGGGGGTCGTGACGTCACTGGCCGCTCGGCGCTGCCAACTGGGCCTGAGGGATGGCCCGCGATGACGTCACCCGATGGCTCTCGGCCGGCGCGGACGGCCGTCTGGGCGGCGGCACGAGACAGGGGCGGGGCTGTCCGGGGGAGGGGGAGGGGGCCACCCGGGCCACCACCGCCGCCGGCCCGACCGACCCAGCCCCGATCGGACCGGCTCCGGGCTCCGGGAGACGAGCCCGCGTCCGGGAGATCGCTGTCGCTGCCGAAAAAGATTCACTGGCCGCCGGCTCTATAATAACTATCTGAAACATGAGATAAGATAGAAAATGACATACCTCGTGCAGGGATGCTATTAATAGGTTCAGTTGGCTGATTGGATCGCACATAAATGTAACCACATAAACTCAGTCATATATCATTTAAGGTTCTGAATGTGCGATAGCATTTTATTGTCGCGTGGGCCTAATAATGGGATGACATCACGCACGGGATAATTGACAGTCATTACAACCGTACGCTGGAGTATTGGTATGCCTCGATCGTCGGACTGTAGTTTCAGGCCCAGCTGGCCAGCGGAGTCACAATAGCGAACTACGTTGGGCGAACTACGTTGGGCAAACTAGGGGCGCCAGTCAGTCTGGGCAAGCCTACTGTGGCAACTCAAATGTCGTAAAATAACGTAGCTTGTTTCGAGCTCTGCGGGAGCGTTTGAATCACATTTTAAAGTGATTCGTATCTCTTACATGAAGGTATGAAGTTGCAGGCACGAATGCGCCGAATCGTGTTAATAAGCTGTCTGACTGCCTAGTGTAAAATAAATGCCTATAATATTTGTTAGAAAGCTCACAACTTATTCGTATAATATTTGTCGAGCATCCTGTGAATTCGTTACGAAATCTACAACGATTTGCTCTCCTTGCACAAAAGCACCTTGTCTTCTTGAGCAGTGGTGAGTCACCTCATGCCTTCAGCTTCCCTCGACTCAGATCACTCTTTTCTTGACTCTATCCCTCGAGTCAAAAGGTCGCGAGTCAAAAGGTCACCAGACTCCACTCTCAACAGCTCGGTGCAGATTAGCTTCGAGTGGGGGCGCTATCCACCGGCTCTAGCGGAGCTCTGGGCGGCGGCGGGGGCGGTGGCGGCGCGGCACATGGCTTGTTCGGCGAACGGGCCCATAATCCAGAGAAACTGTTTACCTGACATTAGCGCGCCGCTAACTGGAAAGGCGGCCTGAT